AAACAAAGAGCAATTTACATTCTCAAAATCAAAGTCTTTTTTACTTCGTATTTTTCTTCGAGTTAATTTACTTATTCTTATATATGTATTTGCCTAAAAAATCATACACTTTCATATTTGGAGAAACACGGTGATATACGAAGTACTCCGTATGAAGTTTTAATTTTATAAACATTTTCAAGTATAGAATATAGTTTATTGCTTCCGTTGGAACATCACACAAGAATATATCTATCAACATTGATCAATTTCTACGTTTTAACTTAGCAAAAGAAAAGCTAGCGAATTGGTCCCACTTAAGCTTCAATGCTTTTGAAAGTTCAATTCTTGTATAAAGTAGAAAATAAAACCAAACATTTCAATGTTGTACAACATTAAAAACAGTACCCTCTCTTTGCGGGCAGCTTTCTTCTGCTCCAGTTCCTCGAGGGCTCTATTACGACGATCTTCTAGAGCCTTGAGCTCTTGTTCCTTGAAGGGCCAGTCGTTGGGGATGCCGGGGTCCTTCTCAACCTTGGACTTGCGGTGGAGGCCAGCCTTCTTCGCCTCCTTAGCCTTCTTCTTGTGGTGCTCCTTCACCTTCCGTATAACCTTGTACTTGTTCTTCAGGGATACCCTCTTGCTCTTACTCTCTGCATAGCAGGTACCAATCCCAAAAAAAATATTCACTCAAAGCACAATTCCATTGAAGAAGGTAGATTAAATCCAAATTAAAGAAAGGGATAGAGACAGCTTACTCTTGCTTTTCTTCACCATCTTGTTGAACTGGCCAACAAAGTATTGAAGGATTTAGGGTGTAAAACCCTGGGAGCAGCTTGATCAACGAGACGGGCTATGAGAGAACCCAAAACCTTTAGGTTTATGTAATTAGACGCTAGAAGCCATGAACGAGTCGAAGGACTGAAATTTGCGGGCTATCGGTAACTTGTCGGGCTATCGGGCCCATTAGAATTCTAATGGGCAACTTTGAATACACGTATATCATTTACATAAAATTCTTTGAATATGATTGAAATAATGATAAAATTCATAAGAGTATAGGAAAATATACAAAAGTTAATCTGTGTGAGAATAAATATATTTATATTTTTATATTAAATAGACCTCTAAAGTTTATGTAGAGATACATGTATACTGATATATTTTTAAAAAGTGGAAAAATATCTCTCATGTTCCGATAGAGGAGCAATTTTACCTTTACTGATTTTAAATATATAAAATAAATTTTAAAAAACACTAAAAAAAATTATAAATTTTAAATTGAAAAATAAAATTACAGAGTTGAAAACAAATATTTATTTGTTAAAAAATGAAATCTTTAATTTTAAATTGAAAAGTTATTATTTTCCCACTGTAAATGAAGCACTTCAATTTCATAAATATTAATTTTAGTCTTGTTGTGAAATTATTAACATATTCTTACATTTTTAAAATTGTGATTTTCTTAAATTTTAATAAAATTAAAATCACTATTTTTTTAATCTTGGATTATTTATCATTAGACAAAATATGTAATTTTATAGTTCAAATTTCAAAGAGTACTGCAACAAATGCTAATAATTTTCTAAAAGAATTTAAATTTATAGTAAAGTTTTCAAATAATATTGGGAAAACGTACAAATATATCATTCTAGTATGAGTGTGGAAACAAATATATCTCTACTCTGTAAATAATATAAGGAGAGATAATTTAGATACCTCAAACTTTAATGGGGTGAGATCAATACTGCAAACTCATACGCAATATATACCTCAAACTTTATGAAAAAATGTTATTTTTTGCACCATGAATGTATGTTTTTTTATAAATACAAATTTATTGAAAACATTACATAATTTAGAATATTCTAAGCTTTGTTAGAATGCATTTAACATTTAAAATTTTCATTAAATTTGTAAAATAAATAGCATTCCATCTGGTAAATTTTAATTTTAATTACATGCTCATAAATGTTTTGTGTATTTTAAGTTATGTACTTAACACCATAAAATTATATTTGTGAACAAATATATGATCATTGTGCTAATATAAATTTTTATATAAAGTTTGGAGTATATATATTACATGTGCATATTTTCAATATATATATATATATATATATATATATATATATATATAAATGTGTGTGTGTGTAGAGAGAGAGAGAGAGAAATGATGATCTTGTCCAGCCGGAGGGACAGGAGGCGCCGCCTGTCTGCCTCCGTTTGGGGCGGTTTCGGTAGAATTTTTTGATGATTTTTTTTTGCATGTTCTTCATCAAGTCAAGATTATCCAAAAAAAACAGGTAAAAATTTGATCCGGAAGGTAGTCAGATAAATTTTTGAAGATAACTGCGCCAAAATATACTTATAAAATGCAATTATTTTTCAAAAATTATTTGACTGTCTTCCCGATCGAATTTTTAGCTAAAGGTTTTTTGTACATAAAATAGACTTGATGAGGAACATGCTAAAAAAAATCATCAAAAACTACCACTACGAACCGCCCCAAACTGTTCAAGTTTGGAGTACATATCTCACACACTTTCAAGTTTGGAATATTTAAATTATTTTCTCCAATAATATATGTTGTAATGTATAATTAATTAAATAAATAAATAAATACATGAATGTGAATATATATATATATATATATATGTGCGCGCGCGCGTGTTCTTTATATGAAATTATGTGTTTGTATATTTGTTTTTGGATTACAATGAAAAATGCCCCCAAGAAAATATAGTTTCAGAATCCCATTCCCCTGTGTAAGCTGTGTTTGACTTCTTAATAATCCACTTCACTGCATCCCTCTCGGTGCCAAGCCACATCTTTGGGCGTGTTTGGCATTCAGTGTTTAGCGGTTAGCGGATAGCGGGTTATGCTAGCGAGTTGTACATAGCGGATTCAATCAGCGGGTTTGACTATCGGGATAAATTGGCGGGTTGTTAGAAAATGTTTGGTAATTTAGTTGTTTGGCCATTAATTTAGTAGAAAAGGCCATTTTTTAAAACGTCAACTCAAAACTCTCCTATTGACTGCGTTTTCATTTCAGCGTTTCCTTCCAGAACCGCTAGCACCGAACGTACCGCTATTTACCAAACAACTTTTTCACTTATTAAAAACGCTGAAAGTGGTCAAACCGCCATTTTTCGGCTGAAACGTCATTTACCAAACACCCCCTTGATGTTACATTGTTACTCCAAATCTTGCAAAGTAAAATGGCATCAAAGGAAAAGGTGTGCTACTTGGACTCGGTGCGGGCCACCCGGCCCGGTACTGTGTGGGCCCGGCCCAGGAACCGGGTACCGATTCCGGGTCTAGGCCCGGTTTGTGGAATTGTGGGGGGTAACCGGGGTGGGTACGGGCTAGGGAAAATGCGAACCGGCCCGGCCGGGCCCATGTCAGGTTCGGGCCATTTTTTTTTCAATTTGTTTTTGCTTTCCCCCGGGTTGGGTGGGTCACCAGGGTGTTTTGTTTTTTTTTTTTTTTGGGGGGGGGGGGGGTAGGGAGGTGGGGGGATATTTAGGAAAGCAAAATAAAAAAAATATAAACAGGCCTGAGCCCGGCCCGAACCGGACCAGAGCCGGTGGATACCCGGGCCGGTTCCGGGCCTAACCCCAAAAAGCCCGCCGGGCCTAAGCCCGACCTGGGCCCGGTCCATCACTAGTCAAAAGAGTTTAACATAGCAAAATAATAAAGGTGGTCTCATAAAGGAAACTATGTTCCTAAAAGTTAGCCAAGCATTGAAAGAAAATTTTGGTAATCTTGTATGTACTATTTTTTAGTGATGTGTCATCTTTTCTAGTATTAAATTCTATCAAAATATGTGCGTGGAGGAAATCGGAACTTCAATGAATGAATTCTTGAAGTCATCACATTAAATTTTGGCCCCAATTCTTTAGCGCTCTCTCTTATAATTACATCTTTGAGTTTTTTTGCAACAAAAAATAGAGATTTAAAAAAGGGCACATGTATTAACTCATGAAGTGAAACTATATTGCTATCTTATTTGTTATGGTTATACCACAACTCATAAGAGAGTATCATGATGATGTGAATGGAAGATTTAGGGTGATGCACTGATGAATGTGTATCTTATCCACTAAAATTGTATGTTATCTATTTTTTCAATGATGCATGTGTCTGTACCATTTCGATACAAGTAATCCCGCGAAGCTTAAAATTAACGATCAAGTAAATTCTCCAGTGGTCATCCATGGAGATCCAAACTAGCGACCTCAGAGATCTTTTTGTTCCGGTGATCAACCCGGATGAAACACCCTCGTTTTTACATCATGATACTCTCGTATAGTAGAGTGTTTGATGAAGTGTTTTAGAGGTCTAAGACGAAAAGAAGTTTTTGGGTGATAGTAAAGGTTAATAGGCATGATTGGCAATTTTTTTTGCATGTGTTTGATCCATTCTCCTAAAGCGGGCAATGAAAACATTACTCATTTTTCATTATTCACAAAGCACCGCCACTTTGATTCATATTCCTCTAATCGACTTTTCCTAAGCCCTCCAAAATCCTCAAACATCAAGCTTCCTTAATTAGGTGATGGCTCTACTAGGCAGTAGGCACCTGTGCACTTTACCTCACTGTGCTTTCTAAATGCTCGATAGGAGGCCTAGGTTCACATAAGATGTGAACCATGGTGGTACTTTATGGTTATATTTCTTACTCCATGGTTCACATTATATTTTTATTTAAGGGTACGTATGCTCCAAATGTACATCTTTAGGTTTTAATTCTTCCAGAAAAAAGTTCAGGAGTATAAATGTTCTCTAATGTATAGTTGAGTATATTTGTTCATTCTTGAAGATGTCATTGTCTTGGAAACACAAATAAAAACTATGACAAGTAGAAGTAATGAAATACGTACTACGTATTCTCTACTTTTAAAATGGGTACTTTAAGAATATGTTGTCTAAGGTTTGCCAATTAGGTACCTGAGGCCAATAAAAAACTAGGCACCTGAGGCCACTTCACTACTTCAGGCACCGTATGGAAAACAATTTCTTCCGTAATGGTTTCATACTTTCATGAAATGAATTTAACCCAAAAATAAGGATCTATAGAGACGTTTGAAAGTTTTGAAAAATAAAAATTAGGTAGCAAATTATAATGCTCTTTTTTCCAATATATATAAGAGGCCACAATAAACGAGTGTCATGTTTAATCTTTGCAAGACGTAGTAAAGAAGAGAAACGATTGTTAGCCCTAAATGGATAAGCCAAAAGGGGTATCTTCATCGGGAGAATCAGATTCCCCATTTGAGTTGGGATATGCTGAAGTTGCATTAGGTGGACTTGGTGGTTCAGTAGCAAAAGTCACAGCATTAACATCACTATTTGGTGTGGCTGGCTTTGGAACAAGACCTTGTGCTTCCCATGTTTCACGTGCTGCCTTTTCCTTGGCCTTTTTAGCCCTATCCAAAACCTCCTCCTGCATTTTTGGATTAAATTCTGTGAGAGAATGGATTTCTTAGCAAAGAATTCAAGAAGGGAAAAAGGGATGATGTGGTGCTCATACACTATTATTCTATTGAATAAGGTTCCATATAATATTGAGATATGGAGCAGTGCTATGACTCATGAAATACTTTACTAGCCTACAATATCAATGGCTGATAAGTGATAATAGGTTTTTGACAGCTTGTATTTTATTGTCATGGATATATAGATTCCCTCAGCGGACAATGAGTGCATAAATTTGAAGAAGTCTGTGCTGCAATTGTATTACGTAGTATTTTTTTGGAATTTGTTCATTAATATAATAATATGTACATTTAAGCATTTTAGGTTGGGAGTTGGAAATTTAAAGGTGGCGGTCATCTACACTTAAGCCCATCCCATCAAAGAGTATTACAGAAGACTTGGAATCTAAATACATCAATCAGCCTTATATCCATCGTAGAAGCCTCTTAACCCACTTTCACCCTGCCCAGGCAAGTTCTATATTAAAAAATGAATAATAATGAAATCAAACTCAGCCTGAATTCTGCAGATCTATTATCTGCGGAATAATACTATCGTCACTGTTAGAGTTACTTTTTGCTGTTGGTTCATCTCCGATTGAGCCTTCTAATAGAGTATTATGCGGTCCTGGATTAACATATTTGGAGAAATTATACTATCGGTCACTAGATATGTGAAGTTAGGAAGGTTGAAGTGAAAAGTAGTGTTCTAGCGAAAATTGTGAATATATCTAGACCTTTCATCACTAAAAAATGGACGGATTGAATCAATTTTTATCAAAATACGTGGTGGCACAACCTTAAGTATGTGTGAATTTAAGTATTTAACGTGCCATTGTTATATACATATGCTGAATAAGAATACATTGCAGAAAACGGCAATTCCCTGTGAAGCAAAAGAATAAACACACAAGAGAAAAGTTCCACAAGCATACTAGGTTGCGCCCTATACAGTGCCTAAACAAAACCAACTGGTGTAAAACAAGAAATAATTACATAATTATGACCAAAATAAAGATTGTTTACAAAAATGTGACTAATAACTAAAAGAGTAATGAAATTATAGTCAATTATGTTCAACTTTTAAACTTAAGTTACCATGACACTACACATTGTAGTAACTATTAGTCATATTTGTGTAAATAAGTTTTATTTTAGTAATATTTTTGAAAAAAAACGTAAATCAAATCTTCATATTGACAGGGTTACTTGAAATATTCTTACAACACCGCAACATTCATCCAGATATCATTGCCAGGCAGGACTATTCACAAGATCAGAACCCTACATAGTTATATGTCAACACCAATGATGAAGTGACAGTGTTACAGCACTCTAGTGTTTCAAATATTAGGATCTGTTTGCAACAGCTTCTGCTTTTAAAAAAGTGCTTTTTTTAATGAAATGAGGAGAAGTGATTAAATAAAAGTTGATAGTGTTTGAGAAAAAAGTGATTTTGAAAAGTAAAAGTGGGTAGTGTTTGGTAAAATAAGTGTTTTTTGTGTAATAGAAAACGTAAAAGCACTTTTTACGCGGAAGCCGAGAAAAATAAAAGTTGTAGTGTTTGGGAAAATAAGTGTTTTTTTAAAGCCAAAAGCTGAGAAGTGCTTTTTTAAAAGCAGTTGCAAACTAACCCTTAATCTACTGCACCTAACCACTCACCTTGAGTATCTTGTTTTGTTTCCAGCAATAAAATGGTACTCCTAAAACGTGATTTATATAGCACAGTTTGTTGTATTTCATCCGCTAAGGACTACAAACCAAATGATAAGGCTACAGAGATGCTAAAGTCTGGACAGCTGCCATTTTGATACATCCATATGACCATATGGCATTACATAACTTAAATATACTACTATCAGTTCATGCTTTATAGTACATAAAACAAAAGTACCTCGAACTCCTGCACTTGCTTTTGTTGCTCAGCTTGCAATCTCCCAATTGTACTTATAACCTCCCCCAATGTAGACTCTAATCGCTCGCTAAGAACTTCCCCTATAGCTCTCCCCAAGAAGAAAGCATCAAGAATTGTTTTACTCTCAGTCTCACCTGCGAACTCCAGCGATCATTCAGGCTTAATCCTTTTGAGTTATTCTAACAACATAAATTTCTTAAAGATCTACAGATTAAAGCCAGTAATTGAAACCACAGATTATGAGAATCGAGAAAACCTAGAGAAGAGAAAATGAATTACCAGGACCAGTGGAACCGCGAGCCGTACTACATCTGCATCTCAATGTCAATCTCCGGAAGTGACGATTCAAGGAAGGAAGATGCTTGATTGGCAAGGTATGTTGCGGGAGATGAAGTTTTGATTGAGTAGCAGGAGACGAAGAAACTATGGAGAAAGAAGATAGAGACGCCAAACCCATCTTATGCTGCTCTTTCTTCTTCTCCTCGGATGGAATCCTGAGACTGTACTTTCTTAATTCCAGAAAGTGGAAACTGAACACTCTTTCTTTCTTTCAGATTCTAAGTAGGTCGACGACCTACTCGATTGGTTACTCGCTCCTTCATTGTGGAAATTTTACGACAAATAAACTCCGTAAGATAGATCGTAACCCGTTTGGTGTTCTGGCAAAAATACCTTTGGTGAAATTTTATAGGATCTATAGTCACTTTTTTTAACATTGCAAAAAACTAGTACTGTTGTAAAATGAAGAAGATGAACATAGAAAGATAGATATATTGATAAAAAACCTCTAAATCACTTCTTCTTAATATAATTGATAATTTCTGAGTTTCTAAGTACATTTACAAGGCATCACCAAATCCCTATTTATACTGATGGAGCTTAGTGATGAATCATCAAAGAATCATTCTACATAATATGCTGACAACATTAAACCTAGCAATCTGTTTATTACAAGGATGGAAATTGGATTAGTGTCCTGATGACAAGGATGAACAATTCACACTTGTCATTCTCAGGAATTTACAACACTCCCCCTTGAATGTTCATCCTTGAATAGTTATTTGTTATTTAAAAACTTGTTGTGAAATTAAGGGGTAAAAATTACGACTTATAATGTCATTGTATTTGGATGTACTGTCTCGTTAAAAACCTTATCAGGAAAAACCCAGTGGGATAAAAACCTGATGAAGGGAAAAAGAGTGCAGTGCATTCAAATACTCCCCCTGAATTTAGTATAAATTATGAAGACGTCGCATGCCGATTTTCTGTACAAGTTCCATGAACTTCTTCGGGGGTAAAGATTTGGTGAAGAGATCAGCTGGATTTTCACTGGATCTGATTTGTTGAATGTTGATCGTCCCTTCTTTCTCCAGATCATGAGTAGAGAAGAATTTTGGTGATATGTGTTTTGTTCTGTCACCTTTGATGTAGCTTTCTTTAATCTGAGCTATGCACGCAGTGTTGTCTTCGTAGATCACAGTCGGGTGACAAGTAATAGGCTTCATATCGCATTCATTTTGGATGTGTTAAATCATAGATCGCAGCCACACACATTCTCTTCCGGTTTCATATAATGCAATTAACTCCGAGTGATTTGATGATGTAGCTGTCAATGTCTGCTTCATAGATCTCCATGAGATTGCGGTGTTACCATAAGTAAATACGTACCCGGTTTGTGATTTCGCCTTTTGAGGATTTGATAAGTATCCAGCGTCTGCATATCCGATTAAAGCAGCTTTTGCATCTTTGTGGTAGAATAAGCCGAGATCAACTGTACCACGTAGATAACGGAATATGTGCTTGATCCCGTTCCAATGACGTCTTGTTGGGCATGAACTGAACCTAGCTAATAAATTTACAGAAAATGCAATATCTGGTCTAGTATTATTAGCTAAATACATTAAAGCTCCAATAGCACTCAGATATGGTACTTCGGGACCAAGTATTTCTTCGTCGTCTTCTCGGGGACGTAATGGATCATCGTGTATGTTGAGAGATCGAATGACCATTGGTGAAGTCAAAGGATGAGCTTTGTCCATATAGAATATCTTTAACACTTTCTCGGTGTAATTGGATTGGTGGATGAAAATTCCATTCTTCAAATGCTCAATTTGAAGTCCGAGACAAAATTTGGTTCTCCTGAGATCTTTCATTTCAAATTCTTTCATAAGATATTTTGCAGTATTTTCAATTTCATCGGGAGTTCCAATAATGTTTAAGTCATCTACATATACTGCAATTATGGCGAATCCCAAATTTGATCGCCGAATGAAAACACATGGACTGATTGGATCATTCTTATATCCTTCTTTGAGAAGGTATTCACTGAGACGATAATACCACATTCGTCCAGATTGTTTTAGTCCATACAATGACTTCTGTAATTTAACGGAAAACATGTCTCGAGGTTTCGAGCTATAAGCATCAAACATTTTAAATCCTCCGGGAACTTTCATATAAATGTCTGTATCGAGTGAACCGTATAGATAGGCGGTTACTACATCCATTAGGCGCATTTGCAGCCTTTCAAAAACAGACATGCCAATGAGAAACCTTAACGTAGTTGCATCAACTACTGGAGAATAGGTTTCTTCATAATCGATTCCCGGCATTTGAGAAAAACCTTGGGCAACAAGTCGGGCTTTATATCTAACAATTTCATTTTTCTCATTGCGTTTACGCACAAATACCCATTTAAAACCCACAGGTTTTACGCCTTTTGGCGTAGGGACTATCGGTCCAAAAACATCACGTTTTTCAAGTGATTTTAATTCAGCCTGAATAGCTTCATTCCATTTTGGCCAATCTTGTCGTTTCCGACATTCTTCAATTGATGTTGGCTCATTGTCATTGTTTTCGTTCATTACATTCGTGGCAACAACATAGACAAATATCTCATTAATATCAATATCTTTTCGATTCCATTGCATTCCAGTAGAAACGTAGTTTATTGAAATTTCGTAATTATCTACATTTCTATCATTATCTGCAATATCTTCCTCATTTAAGAAAGTTGGATCGTCATTTGAGATGTTTGTTTTGTCAATATCATTTTCTATGCCAGTATTTTCAAATTGTTCATTTTCTTGTTCAGAAGGATGAACATCTTTGGCATCACAGATCAATTCCTGCTTTTCAGTTTTTCTTGGTTTTATGTCTTTTGATCCAAGTGGCCTGCCACGCTTTTTGCGTATAGAAGAATCATTTGCAAGAGATTTTTCAGAATTCTCTGCTGGAATTTCGATTCTGGCAGGGGCATTCATAGCAGGAATATGTGACTTTGTCACTTTCTTTGTATCTGTGAATGCATCAGGCAATTGATTTGCAACATTTTGTAAATGGATTATCTTTTGCACCTCTTGCTCACATATATTTGATCTAGAGTCAAGGTGTGATAATCCTGTTGCATTCCATGTTATTTCTTTCGTACTTGGGTCTGATTTATTAGTTTCTCCCCCTAAGGTTGGGAATACCGTCTCATTGAAATGACAGTCAGCGAACCGTGCGGTGAATAAGTCACCAGTCATCGGTTCAAGATATTTTATTATTGAAGGAGATTCAAATCCAACATAAATTCCCAACCTTCTTTGAGGACCCATTTTTGTACGATGAGGTGGAGCAATCGGAACATAAACAGCACAACCAAATATTTTTATGTATGCTAAGTTTGGCTCTTGTCCAGTAACTAATTGCATTGGGGAATATTCATGATATGCAGTCGGTCTAAGCCGAATTAAATTTGTTGCATGCAAAATAGCATGTCCCCAAGCTGATGAAGGTAAATTACACTTCATTAATAATGGTCTAGCGATTAATTGTAATCGTTTAATCAAAGATTCAGCAAGACCATTTTGTGTATGGACATGAGCAACAGGGTGTTCCACATCAATCCCAATCGACATACAATAGTCGTTAAATGTTTGGGATGTAAATTCTCCTGCATTGTCAAGTCGGATTCTCTTTATAGAATGATCCGGAAAATGAGCTCTTAATCGTATAATTTGAGCAAGGAGTTTAGCAAATGCTAAATTTCTTGTCGATAAAAGACTAACATGTGACCAACGTGTTGAAGCATCAATCAACACCATAAAATATCGAAATGGTCCAACATGGAGGGGCAATCGGCCCACAAATATCTCCTTGAATCCTTTCTAAAAATGCAGGTGATTCAGTTCCAATTTTGCTCTTAGAAGGCCTGATGATCATTTTGCCAAGAGAACAAGCCTTACAAGGAAAATCACTTGATAATGGAACCCTAATATTCTTTAATGGGTGTCCAAGTGAAGTCTTAATGATTTTATGCATCATTACTTGGCCTGGGTGACCTAAACGGTCATGCCACAACATGAATGTTTTCTGATCATCTAACTTTGTGTTAGAAACCAAATTTATTTCAAATGGACTAATATGAGTGAAATATAGTCCCGAGGAATAAGCTGACATTTTTTCACAAATATATTTAGTGCCAGATTTAGTTGTCGTAAGACAAAGATATTCATTTTGGTTTTCATTCATGGTTTCTATGTGATAACCATTTTGACGCATGTCTTTAAAACTTAATAAATTTCTCCGCGATTTGCTGGAGTATAAAGCGTCATTTATAATTATTTTTGTCCCGTTAGGGAGCATCACATATGCTTTCCCAGAGCCTTCAATGAGCTTCGCAACACCTGATATTGTATTGACTTTAGCCTCAACTAAAGTCATTTGAGAAAAATATATTTTATTTCTCAAAATGTTGTGCGTTGTAGCGCTGTCTATCAGACATAGCTCTTTATCACTTGAGTGATCCATATCTTCAATATATGTAAATAAACATAAGCTTAACCACAAATTATGCATATTATTTAACATAAGAGTACATATATTACACACATTTATTTAAAAACAAGATAAAAGAAAAAGTACATAATACATGAAAACATAAACTACTATTTTACAACATGCAAAAGTCTTATAATTTATTTTGTGTTATTTTGATCAGTGGCAAAAGCATCATCCATTATGCTATCATCCATGAAGAAGTCGGACACATCGAATTTTGGCAGAGATGGAGTTGTGTCATTGACATAATTTGCTTCCACATTTTTGCCTTTGTTTAAATTCATGGAAGCTTGAAATAATTCCACAAGATGCTTTGCAGTACGGCATTTGTTAGCCCAGTGTCCCGTCATGCCACATTTGTAACAAGTCGTCTTCTCCGAGGGTTTTGTAGGGCGATTTACCAGATCTAGTATTCTGTATTTGTATGTATGATATTATTATTATTATTATTAAGTTTTTTAATAATCTTCAACTAACCTGCATCTGCATTTGTAAAATGCTACTAATATAAATCTCATTACTTCTCTAAGCTCTCAACTTAATCTATATATCTAGCCTAAACCATACAAATCCACTAGTTCTTTAACTCTGTTCTGTTAAGAACAGAACCTGAAGTATTGCTATGTTCTGTTCTTGATGAGTAGGGAGGATTTGTTGTTTAATTAGCAATGTATGTAAGAATATTACGTTCTAACTTTCTTTTTTGGTAATATGTGTAGTACTATGAAACTGCTTTGTGATACTTACAAAAACAGAGTAATCTTTAGTCGTGGATATGGTATGATCTCAGTATTAATCTTCTTTGTAATATAAAAACACATCAATCTTTACTC